GGTGATGGTGGTGATGGTGGTGATGGTGGTGATGGTGGTGATGGTGGTGACGGTGGTGATGGTGGTGATGATGAAGCCGAGTCCGAACCAGTGCCCAGTTTTACGGAAGCACTTCGTGCATTTGAGTCAGTGAGAGCGTTCATATATGCACACGACATCACCGAAAGAGACCAAGCGAACATTGTTAATATTGAGAGATTATTATTCAGCTTGAAAAGGAAAGGCGATACTAAAGAAATAAAAATTAACGACTTTTTTAAAAAGTAGTAACGCAAATTGGACTTGACAGTGGAAATATTATCACTGGTTCATGTTTTTTGATTTAGTTAATACATATAGGCAAATGAGACCGTTTTCATTCATTTTATATAGGCCCCGCACCTATCGTTTTCTCGCAACCATCGTTTTTTTTCAGGATCCCAGACGAAAACTATGAATCGTGGTTTCATTGTACTTAAATTGGACGCAGTTCAGATATTGTCTAAAAAAGAGCATTGCCTCTGCCTCGAAAAATGTGTCCTATTGTACATGTATATATGTACTGAGAAATGATAACGTCACATACTCATATATATATAGACATATATTGTCGCCGCACGTGATCTTAAGGAACTGATAGGCACGAAAGTAAGATCCATATGCCGCCAAGCTTGCAGCTCTATGACCGTGCCAATCTTTGACGCTCAGATCTGCACCGTAACGGGTGAGGGTCTCAATTACTGAATTGCGTTGGAATTCAACGGCCCAGTGCAACGGCGTTTGACCACTTATTCTGGTGCCGGCATTAATATCCTATCCACTTTCGATAAGAAGTTGTACCACTTCCTTGTTCCCACTTGAACACGACAAATGTAACCGTGTGACGATGTCCCAAGAGTGTAACCTTGCGTTCACAGTATTTCTACAAGATCCACCTGCTCTCCATAAGCTGCGTAATGTAGGGGCCTTACAACCTCTTATCACTGCAATTGACATCTGCTCCTGCTTCAAGTATCAGCAATGCCATTTCTCTCCTGACTTTATCAGCAGAATAATTCAGGGGAGTCATGCCATTATTGAGCCTGGTGAAAACAGGCACCCCGTTTTCCAGCATATATTTTTAGCAATTTTCTAAAAGAGGAATTTTTCTGTACCGCATTTGTTTGTAGTAATATATTTCTATAAAATATTATTTTGATGGCATTGTTTTACTTTCTTGCTGTGTAAACTTGAATCACATATTTCCATACAATACCTTATACATATACGCCACGGTTTCCTATGAACGCTATTGTACTTATTAGTAAATGTTTTACCTCATAACTTTCAAAGCAGTGATCATTCTGCTGTTTTAAGTAGCAACAAATTTCGAAGATGGGCACAGAAATAAAATGTGTGTGGGCATGAAGACATAATGAATATATGGGAAGGGAGAAGTTTTGTCTACTCCGTCGTTCGCTACAACACATAAGAGTCACGCACATTTACATGTTTTCTTCCACACATTTTCGTATGCAGAAATGTATACGTGCGAACACGCTTTGTCGCTTTAATATTAATTTGTGGTGCACATTTTTGGCATAATTGTAACATAATTGAACCAAAACGGAAGTACAAATAATTTTCTTAATAGTAAGCTCAGATTCAGTGCAGAGCAGTTCATCTCCTCCCTATACCTCAATGTTTACTTTACGAAACCGTTTACGAAATCTGCACCTCCTCGGAGACAACTGGAGCACACGGCTCTCTCTCTGGGTATATTGTACCCCGAAATCTTCTTAGTCTGGAGCGCTATGACTAGGCTTTACATATGCTGCTGGCTGGCACTGTGGCTGACTGATTGTGACACAATTTATTAAACCTTTAGTATATTTTATGTACTTTAATCGATTTTATTAAAATGAAAACATCTACTTCGTTGTTGCGTCGACGGCTTCAATGCGTCGATACATAATCCTATTGCAATTGCATAATTCTGAATATTTGCAATAGGTTTGAATATATCTAGAGAGAAAATAAGAAAAGTGCATATAATGTATCTGCATTTGAAACTATATTATTAGTTGTACATAAAATCAAATATAGCAACATAAAAAATGATATTAATGATAGTACAATGGTACAGAATATATATATGGTTTTGTAACCTGTCCGCAGTCATTGCAGATCTGTGACATGTGGCATTATCAGTGATATTTATTATAAGGAGCATTCCTTTCTAAGTTAACTTGAAAATAACAATGAACACGTACAGGTAGACAGAAAACTCATTAATTTCCAAGATAAGCGCTGACTAAATAAGTTTCGGGGAAATAATTAATATGAAACGTTTTATAGGTTGTATTATTTCTCCTGAAGTTAAAGAGTGTCACTGGTTCAGAGATGAGAAGAAGGACACGACTTCGGCACGGCCTTTAGAAAAAGCAACACTTTCTGCAGTCAGTCCATGGATATCTTGGGCCTTGGCTTCTGCTCCGTGCTTAATAAGTAGCCTGACTGTCTCAAGGTGACCTTCTTGAGCCGCCCAGTGAAGCGGTGTACGATTATTCGTGCTGGTACGTGCATTGACAGTAGCGCCTCTCTCTAACAGAAGTTCAACCAGCTGTGCATTCCCAGAGAATGATGCAGAGTGAATAACTGATCTGTTATCTGCTTTTTCGACTGTAGCGTTGACATCTGCACCTCTGTCGAGAAGCATTCTGGCCACATTACAATGCCCACCCCATGAAGCATTGATCAGTGGTGTACTTCCCATGTTATTACGGATATCCACCGCTGATCCACGGTCAATTAACCAGTCAACAACGTCCAGATGCCCGTATGCAGCTGCGAAATGAATTGGAAAATCTCCATACTTGTTTCCACCGGACTTCACAGTGTTCCCAATCAACAGTACCTTCAAACATCGTAATCCTCCTACCATGGCTGCACAGTCAAAAGCGTTTAAATGATCAATGTTTTCGGTGTATG